ATATATATATATATATATATATATATATATATATATATATATATATATGTTTATATATATATATATATATATATATATATATATATATATATATATATATATATATATATATATATATATATATATATATATATATATATATATATATATATATATATATACAATGAATGTATGTCAACGTTTAAACATCATATAAACTCAGCGATATATCTGCCAGCATACCACAAATATTCTTAAGAAACTTGCATCCTGACTGATCTGCACTCCACGGGATCAAGAAGAAATAGTAATTGAATGACATTTATCGATAGGTCAATTAGAGTCACAAACTAAAGATTCAAACGGATACGTGAACCAAATAAAAATCGATTGGGTAATATTCTCTTGCAAAATTATAAAATACGATTATCACAAAAGGAAATGGCCTTATCTAATACAAGTTGTTGCAAAATACCCAATTTGATAAATTATTTTCAATCATTTCTCCCTGCAAGTTCTCTAATCATTGGAACCCATTCAAAATATTCCTTCGAAAACATTTTAACTATACACAAGTTCTGGTTCATAGTGAAAATGATACAAAATATATCATCAGGAGAGTGAGATTATAACAATTTGAACATATGCATGTATTATAATGAAACTGTACATGCATGATAGGTCCGTTTCACTCTGCATATGTACTTACCTAAAGGTTTATACAAAGCCCAGACTGCGGACATGGACTTTTCAATTGAAATTTTGATTCAATCATGTTTGACAGATGATTGTAGAAAGATGAACTATAACGATTTGTCAATAGATACATAGTAAAAAGTATTTGCTTATTGGTTAAACGTCAGTTCAGCAAACTTTCTGCAAAGTTGAGGTTAAATATTTTTTAGTATTCAAATAATACGGAGAGTTATTGACACATCAAGATATTGTTTTCCAAAATTTAGTGCGCAATGTGTCGTTTCTGATGACTTGTAACATGGAGGACCAGAACTGTTTAAGCTTAATTGATACACGATTTTTTACAAAATATAATTATTCAAGGAAGAAACATCAAAAACCAATTAACCAATAAACATTAGACCACGCCTAATTATCTAGATAAACCAACAGTTACAACGCAAATCTAATTGACCTGGTAGCGTCATATATAAGTCACAGCTCATTAGCTAAGAATATCACAGCCCCTATGAACTCTAGAAAGACCAGGTGTAAACTAAAGTGCCTCTACTTCTGTCTATCATCAAATGTTTGAAAAGAAAATATTTTTACAATTTTAATAATCACATGAACAGACCTGTGAAGGAAAGGACAAATCAGCAATAATTATACGAGATTTTGTGAAATCTTGAGCGATTTACGACCTGCTATAAATTATCCGTAAAGACTTTTTTTCTGAAAACGGAAGTTACTTCAGTAATTATCTAATTGAGCAAAACAATATTTCTCTTCAACATACACTTTTCTTAGTAATTTAGGCAAGATAATATCTTCAGCTTGTACAAATCTGATGAATTTTTACTTCTTCGTTCATTTTTTACATTATGGACAGTTGATGTGAGCGTATTATTTATAACAATGTTCTACATAATGACCATAACTTGGGCTGTATACTAAATTAAAAGTTACACAAGAAAATGGAAACTAACAAATGCACGTATTAGTAATTTTGGATTGATTGGACATTTAAATATGTAAAAGTACCAATGTTGTTCCTAAATCCCATTATATTATATACCGCTACAGCCATTTAATAGCATGGAGTTTTGGTGTAGTCTTTCTACAGTAGATATGGTAATATTTCAAATTTCCATAATTGTAATGGGATGTAGCCATGGTGGCACCTGATGTAAGGTAAGGACCTAAACATACTTCTAAAATGCTAGGTTATTTTCATGTTGAATAATTATAGCCTCTTATGGGAAATGAGATATTTAATATACTAACACACAGCCTAATTAACGGCACCCGATCTTTGAGTACGATCATTTACACACAGACACGCATACGCACATGCACACGTACACATACACATACTCAACTCTCCAGCAATCTACGTTTTGATTATTATCCTAAACTATATGCACATTATCTAGCAAAAAGGTAGGAATGTTTATACATACGATATACTTACATGCATAAGAACCTATTATTATACACAGGCAAAGCAAGGGTAGATGTGTTTATAGACACTTAAACAACGAATACGTATTATACAATCACACTTAAGAATAATCGGTTTTAAGTTATAGTTGTCAACAATGCACACATATGTATGATTTCGAATAGTACATCTCTATTCTAGATATCGGTATGGCTCATTTATGGCTGATGGGCTTTATTATTCTAAGAGGGTTAGCAAAGATGGCACCGCTTATAGGAAAAATGATACTAATGTTATGTAAAAATGGGAACTAGTATGGCATTGGGTGAACACAATATAAAAACATATAAATAAAATGTAATGAAGTAAAAATAAATTAAAATGAATTTTAAAACTAACACAGAATCAATTTTATTACATATAATACATTACAGAGAGAGAGAGAGAGAGAGAGAGAGAGAGAGAGACCATGTTGTTTGTGAGTATGCATCTGTGTGTGTACCATAGCCTAATCAGATTCTGAATCCAAATAATACGGTTACACTAACTGATCGAGAAACCATATGCCAACGACGACTTTCAGTGTAAGCCATATGCGCCACGTGAAGTGTCAGCTAAAGTCTATTCATAGCGATAATTTGTTTGTTAGACGTAAATATGCGACGCAATTGATTTACGATGTGGATAATCTCATAAAGAGTAGATCTATGTATGTTCCTGTACATTTGTTGCGTTAAACCGACGAACTTGTACCATCATGTTATGCTACATAATTGCCAAGGAAACTGTATTTTTCTTTTATGCAAAAATGTGTTATAAAGACCAACCTTATGCCACAAAAATCAAGAACAATCCTTGATAAGGTTGCGGATGAGGGTAGAATTGTTCATGTTTTCGATCATGGATACCAATCGTTAAACGTATAAAAGGTTTGGTACTTTCCTACTACAAAATGATAACCACATGTCGACGAAAACTCCATTTTTATTACAACATTTCACACGGGTCATTTCATCATGGATTAAAACCTTAGTCACATGCATACACATTCCAAAAGAGAAATATTTTTATCATCATTTTTTTTCATAAAACCAAAAGAGTGCGACTTGCACTTGTGCCCATTAGAATAACGTGTATAAGTACCTAACTCAGTTCTCATATATATAATACAAGGATAAAATAATAATAAAAATATCTAGGAAAGTTTTCGAGAAAAGCGACAATAAAAATAAAAACTCACACACTGTGAATAAGAATCTGTGGATTGTTCGATATCAAAAAGTATTTTATGAAATATAATTTACGATATTCTTAAACTTACAAATTAAAATTAAATTTCTTTTTCGTTGCTTGCACTTTAATAACAAGGTATGTTTGGCTTGCCTGCTTGACATATTTCCCGAGCTATGCTATTTGAGACATTCGTACATGTTGCTCTGCTTTTAATGGAAAGAACCGAAGCATACGTTAATCTGTCCTTCATGATATGTACTAGGATATTAGATGTAATGTTTTGTTGTTGTTTTAGGGTTTAATGCCATTTCTGAACTCAAGATAGGCAATGCAATGTGGTCAATATAACTGGTGGAGGTCGTACCTGGAAAACCTCCAGTAAGAACCATGAGCCAATGGCAAGCTACTGGCAGCGTTTTCTGACATACCTACATTAGCTGAGCCAGAGATCAGAACCTACGCGTACAGAGGTGAGATGGCAGTGAACGGGTAATGGCGAGCGCTTGAGAACACTCAGCCACCCAGGTTCCCTAGACATGATACTGTACATTCCTCCAATAAATTAAAAACAAACAAGTCTATCAAACAATATTGTTAGATAAAGTAGAGTTATAAATAAAATAAATTTTATTTCATTTGCCATTCCATATGTCCTTTAAAGTACTTTCAGGAAGTAAAGAGGTATTGACATACTCTAGCACATTTTGTTTATAGCAATTGACGAGGCTATTAAATGCGTTTAAAATATTATCATCTTCTAGTCATTTAAAATAAGCCTGATAGGTAAGCATGCGTATCGACTCCTGGGAATGGCTTTTGTGTCAGTCACGGGAATTAGCGTTGTATCAACCAGTCTTATTGACAATGGTTCCTCAGGAAATAGAACAGACTGAACGCTAAAAGCTAATTATATTCTAAAGACGGATTACATGTCTTTCCAACATTCGCATTAATGTTTATGTGTGATATCGAACACTAAAGCCGTTTTGAATTAATGGCGGTAGCTAAGGAATGAGTTGCAAAGTTGGAATCCATTATATGAATGATGTTTTAAAGAGAGAATAGCAGATTTTTATCATATTTTATAAAGCTTTGCATTGGAAAGCAGCTATGTTTATGAACATTAAAATCCTTGATAAAATAAATGAAGTAACAATGCTCCTGCAAATATTCTCAATACAAGTAATTTCATAAATAGAAATCATAGTTGTAAATGGGTTGTGGGTCAAAGGTAAATAGCGATCTTTCTGGATCACAGAATCAATATCAACTGGATAAATTAAGTATTTATCTCTGTGCATTTATAGACGTGGATATTAGTCATGTCACCCAGACGCCAACTCAGTACTAACCTCTACAGCTGAAGTGAAGACATGACAGATGTAAAGGTTTTAGATGTAATATAATCAATAGGTATATAGTGTGTGTGCGTTTGTGTGTGTGATTTGGAGTTTTAACGTAGCTTTATTTCAGTCATATTGCTACGATGTCTGCAGTATGGCAGTTTATAGTGATGTATAGCACTGGGTCATCATGTTGCAGACATGTAGCATGTTGTCCCGCCCAGTCACAGTATCCTGACACCAGACCGACCAGTCCTATCACTAACATCTTACTGCTGATCTCCAAGCAAGACATCTGTTAGTACCATTTGTGTAAGTCTTTTGTATGACTCAACCGGGTATCGAACCCACGACCTATCTCATCCGAGGCGGACGCTCATACCACTAGGCCACCGTAGTGGTCGGTATATGGTCTAGAGTCCAATTTTTAAATATATCCACCAACATACGAACATATACCATTATTTGGTCATTATAGTGTCTGCCGTAAAAGAAAATTTATTTAATCCTTTTGACAAGTGTTATTCATCCCCAATATCAAGGACGAAAATGAAGATAGAGGAATTTAAAGTGAAATCTACCTTGCCCTCCTTTATTAAAACTTCTCAAAGCAGACATAATATATCTGAGCCCTTGGAACGGTATGTAACCCAAGGTCCTGAAAACACATTGTATTAAAAACAAAATCCTTCTGGCTTAAAGAAAGGCGTAAGAGACCTGAACCAGCACCAAATATTACTTCTAATCTTATTTACAAAGGACAGCTCGCTGTAATGAGACGATTTCAATGAACAATGCTAACATACACCATGCTCCAATCTAATTACCATACATATATAATGTATTTTCATTCAGGAACATTTTTCAATCGCCGTCATATCGGTCTCATCTTCACTAAATATAAGACGCATATCATGATTCATTCCAAGTAATTTAAACACACTCGCAATTTGCCAATAGTCACCATTTATAAAAGAAAATAACTGGTTGGATTCCAAACTTTGTAAATCGTTATCTCAACATAATTTACTATGAAAACTAAAAACTTGCTTCGGAATGAGATAAACATTTTTATTCAAGTTTGCATTTTATTTCTTTGTAACACATTTGAGGAACAAAATGTCTTTCAATTTAAAAATATTTATAGTTGTCTTCATTGAAGCCTCTTCAAGTTCCATATAACATTTCCAACAAGTCTATAGTAATATTAGTGTCCGAAATCGTTGTACAAAGTGACCATATACTTTAGTTAATTATATGCACTTACGAAACATAGTCAATATTTAGTAGACTGTTTTATTAACAGTAATTTATGTCAACAATTTCTATGAAAACGCAAAGTAGTCTTAATAAGTCCTATCCTGTCTACATGCTTCAAGAAAATAGAACAAGGAAAAGAAGGATAAGCAAATAAACGAGATAAATAGATGTCCGGTTATTACCATGCGTTTGATAATTAACTAATCCAGTTTTTAATTTCTTCTTTTTTAATCCAAATTTATAAATATCAAATCTTGTCAAGGATAAATTGAATCGAACTAACCAACAAGCTGTTCTTACACAATGTAAAATACACGTATGTACAAAAAATCGCTTGAGTATAGAAAGGAATGTATGTATGTATGTATGTATGTATGTATGTATGTATGTATGTATGTATGTATGTATGTATGTATGTATGTATGTATGTATGTATGTATGTATGTATGTATGTATGTATGTATGTATGTATGTATGTATGTATGTATGTATGTATGTATGTATGTATGTATACAGATTGAGGGCATCTTAGCACAAACCTTCTTATATGATGTCATTACGTTGAGGTTAAAAAGGCACACCTTAAGCCTAAAGACAACGATGGCCAACTCCTTAAAATGCAAACTAAACTTCTCTGTATAAACTCCACTCGTTTCAAAAGTTAAGACCTCGTCTAGGACGTAGGTACGGAGCATGATTTATAGAGAAATGATTTGCCTTCATTAATCGCCAAATTAGAGAGCAATGTGAGTGCATTGGGCATCATCAAAGAAAATGTCTAGCTTAAAATGACGGAGTCCATGGATGGAAAGCAATTATCATCAGCTACGTAATCAAATGGTCACTTAAATACACTCTGTAGAAAGGTGGGTTTTTCAAACATTAGGCAAAAATAAACTGAAATTAACAAACCAGATAACGCCAACAAGTATGATACCCACGCAAATTTGTTTTCCCGATAATGCATTCAATAAAATAAATCTCATTGGACCAGCAATTGTTGTCTACGAGAAACGAAGCAACACAATCTATTTCACAGTATTCTGCATCTCGTTGCAATTACCATACAATTAAGTGGTATTGGAAAGTCATTTGTGTCAAGAAGTAATGGGTTTAATAGGAACCATAGCTATAAATACCATTTCCCTTCGATCGCAATATCTGTCTTAATCCTAGCTTGACTAATTTACAGGATTTATCCCATATTAGTATTCTTCCGACTGAAGTATCTTGCCATTCCAACTAAAATATTGTGCTAAGCTGTGTAATCTCTACTCTTGTTTTGAGATAAAAATTAGGGTTTATTCAGCAGATTTGATCACATTTAAGGACGTGATATTAATAAAGATCTAAAATATTACAGATACATCTTGGTTCATTTTTAGATGAATAGCATCAGTGATAATTTAAAGAAACTGGTAACCACGAATGATCATATTAAACAGATTTCGGTCTGCAATTTTAATCGATATAAATATTGTTGCCTCCATTCATGCTCAAGAGCTAAATAACACCAAATGTTGTACTTTATACAAATGCCAGATCTACAATTTACTAAACGGTAATTAAGAGCAAATTGTATTTGATACAGGCGCGATTTAATATATTTCATATTCGCTGCTTGTTATCTACATTTGAGTGTAAATGTAATTAATTTATTCAAATAATCAAGATACTATCTAAAGGCGAGTGTAATAATATATCGCAATACGTCGACAAGTAGTCGCTAAATGTCACAAGCGTAAAGCCTATGATAAGACATCACAAAATATAGGCTTCTCAGAGATGTCTTTGTATTCGACGATTTGGAATATTATATGTGCTATTTGGCACAAATAGTATGAGATGTTTTAATCTCTTCTAGCAAAATCTCTCTTACTGTGGAGAATATATATTTAGCAGTCTGGTTAGTATATGAGATATTTAAGGTCGACAAAGTCACAGCGTGGCAAGAATCCATGCAGAGGACCGATACATAAAGGGTTTTCTTAACTGAACTAGCTTTAATGATAGTTTCGTTGACTTTCCAAAAGAGAAGATATTGATACAGTCATTTTTTATATTTGTTTGATATAATGAAGCCAGCAAATATCTTTTTTACAAATGCTAATTGTCAATGATTTATTATATATTAGTCTACTTTAAATGTAAATTTAATTCCAGTCTGAACAATCAGCGTATAAAATTTCGAGTACAAGTTTAAGGAATACTGTCAAGAATTAGCTTTTATTGCATTTTATCAATTTAGTTAATATTGGTGGAAACATAAAATAATATAGATTATGGCTTTCCTATAACTTACACTTGTGTTATTTAATTAAGGAGATGACGTAGCTGATGACTAGTTGCATTTAAAAAGAAATGGAATGTGTTTCATAATTATAATAGCAATAAAAATTCAGCTGACAGCCAAAGCACCCCAAACATTGTCTGGCCATTGAGAAAGACGCAGCTGTTAAGGGCGCTTTTTGTTGTGAAAATCGTTGTGGTGAACTTTGGGAATACATATAGTGTATTTTCGCTACTTTGTTTTATTATTTAGGAACTTTGAGGAGGATAATAATGTGATAGCATCAGTCTGTCCTTGTGCGTGTTTATTGTCATATGATTAACCGCTGCACCAAAATTCACTAAATTCGGTGCGTGGGATGCTTATACTGAAAACATATTCGAGGCCTCTTCTGTGGCGTCTCTTGATGAAGGTCAAAAGATAAATTTGAGGGAAAAAAATGCAACTGCAATGATATTCAAAATATTTTATTACCAATCTGTGTAGCATCATGACACAAAATGTGACTGAGATTCGTGTGTGACATTCTGGTGAGCGTATAAGAGAATTCGGGGTTTGGAGGCGAGTAGACAGTGGAGGAACATAGAAGGGAAAGAATTGAACTTGCAATTGCTAGCCATGAAATAACTTGATTTTATATTCCGACCTAATTTTGATAGACTGCCAAATTGCTGATTTTATGAATGAATGGATAGTGTCTTGGAAAGATCTTGGCATATGACTCTCATTCTGGGTAGCAGAAATTAGCATAAAAATGTTAACTGTCGCTACAGCTACCAATATATAGTGTTATTTATGATTCCTTCAAGATTAGGCGTACGAAATATTTGCTTCCTTTATTTGGACATATTGATAACATGCATGGAAAGCATCATTTATATTGACATGCGTTAGTAGTAAACGTTTTGCATCGATTGCAGGTATATTTTAAAAAGTTTAGAAAAGCTGATAAACGCTAGTGCACAAAATTAATTTTATTTGTTTCTTAATCATGATCAACTAAATGTTGATGTTATTATGCAATCAGAGATAGCATGCCACAAGCTATATCTTTGTTAGGTTCCTGAAAATCTTCACATGCAAATTCGATTGTTTAACATTCAAATAATGTGCTCAAATCGATTAACATGTAAGGTATTCTTCAATATTGGTCATGCAAAACTCTAAGTTAGATTCTTTGGCAATATGACTAAACTCCTAGATTCCTTTTCCTGACCAGACTTAATTTGTTTTCCAAAATTTAAGAGGATCTAAGACAAGAAGAGTATTATAGTTCAAGCATAAACTGTTCGTATATAATTTAAAAACATTAAAAAAAATAGGAGTAAAACTCGTACGCCTCTCATGCTAAACCTCCAGATAAACTAATTTTTACTAGATTAATAGGGCAAGCTAGAGAAAATTTCCTACAGACTTCATTCAGATGAAATCTAAACAGCGATTGTAAACATTTCGTTTTTCAGTCTAATTTTCTGCGTAAAAGTTTTACTTCGTCTAAAGGCAATTGAAAATTGAAATAAATGTATACGCATGAAATGAGTTTACTCTTGGTTTCTATGCATCAATTATTCCATCCATTACTTTATCTTACAATATCTCACTGATGACATGATATTGCTTGGAAATATGGACTGAATGAGAACATTATTAAAATTTAAAGATAACTTCGTTGAATGAATTCAGATCATATTGTGATGGGATATGTTTTAATAGTTTTAGACGAATTACATTACTGATGAACGACTGAGATTTCTCTTAAAAGAATAAAAGCTGTCATTATGTACCATAATACATGTACTCAAACTCATCCGAGAAATGTATTATTGTCAACGCTCTTGAGCATACTCGCTAAC